TTTCATTATATTCTAGGACAGTTAGTGATGATGCACATGTCTTCTCGGGTATAAAGATATTACACGATGAATTTAAATTATCTCGTACGAGACTTAAAAAGGGATCTAGGTTAAAGACTTAACGGGTTAAAGAACAGAGTTGAAGAAGAATATAACAGCATGATTGTTTATCGTGTTATGTAAGGAGATCCAGTAGAAAGACATAACATCGAAGCATTTTTTAGGATTTCATGTTAGAAAATCGTGTTCGGGACGAAATTTCGGCCTCCAAAATCATTTAAAAGTCTATCGACGATAAATCCGCGAAGCAAAAATACTGTTTCGCCATCGCGGTGGACGAATGGTATAAAAAAAAAAAAGAGTAGACGCGTGTTCGAGCGCGCGATCGATTTGCGATGACCTCGCCGTCGCGAAAGTGGGGACAACGATGCAATTTTTGATCCAAATATTTATAGCGCTCGACCGAAAGCATCGCTACACGTGCGCGAGTGAACGCGAAAACTCGTAAGTTTCTAGTCATTCTCGATCGAGCGATATACCCGTGAAATACGGCGAAGCATTTTAGCGATATAAAATTAACTGGACGCGTGACACACGCACCTATCGCAGGGGCCGTAAAATTAAACGATTTTACGATGTATTTTTGAGGTGATTAATTTTAGCCTGTTAATAATCCTACAAAATTGCATGTGCGAAGGCATAAAACCTTCGCTGCGAGTACAAAACCGCGCGTTTAACAAATGGATAAATTCCTGCGTGACAGCCGTCCCTCTGTACGTTAATTTTTATATTAAATATTTGCGTAAAAGATATATGAAATTGAAACCATTTATTAAATTTGATTTATCGCACGTTTTAATCGACTTTTGGCTCGGAAAGCTGCCTCGTGTTTACTTTGCCGCGATTGATCGCTCCGCACTTTCGGAGCCAAGGCTGTAGAAATTAAGTTATCAAGTGGAAAAAGATAAAGCGACGATAATGTTACTCCGCGCGCGACGCAAGAAAATCTTACCGTGTGAGCCTCCGGTGAGCTCAGTGGGCACGCGTAAAAACAGCTTACGACGAGCGAGAGATCGTAAAATATAATCAACGCGAAAAGGGTTAAATGGCCAAGACAGATGAAAGAGGTGGAGGACTCCGGCATGTCGCGCGTCTCGCATAATGGCCTGACTAATGCGCGAAGCTAAATGTGCGTGGGGGATCCTTCGTAATGTGGACATCCTTGGCATAAGCATAGAAAGCTAGAAAGCCTCGGCACCGTCTATGATAACCCAAATACGAGTAGCCGCGCTCGATTATCTGGCTTTGTTTAAGGAGAAATCTTCCTTTTTGTGCGTTTTTCAATCGCGCGAAATAAATCGCGTCGCCGTGAAACGCCCCACATACTGAAAATTTCAACGTGACGTTTCTCACGTTTAAATTTCCTCCACCGAGAGACATTCTCTTTTTAGCGCATTATGAATGCCTCGAGCAAATCTCTTTTGAATCAAATCGACGTTAACGATCGATCGAACTTGGCTCTCGTTCGGTTAAAAATAGACTTGTGCGGTCTACCGAAGCGAAGGGATAAGTGCAATGGGAATCGCGCGGTTTGTGGTTTCGCAAAAATTTTTTTCCCACTCGTAAATTATTCTGCGCGAATTATCGAGCGTTACGCGACAGAAGTTTTGGCAATCACGACACGATGGTCTCGCGAAACTTACCAAAAGTTTTTTGGTGACCGATAAAACGGTATGTCACGGATCAGGCCGACGTTAGAAAGTCGGTTGGACCTTTTTTCAGACCGCGACGCGACGACCGACGACGGAGATGAGGACGACGAGAGAGTCCGCGCTCACTTTCCCTCGCGACGCGCGAGGCAAACGCGTATCGTCTCCGGCGATCGCTAAAGGGTACCATCACCGCGACGCGCGATGGCGAATTCGCTTTCGCAGATCCCGGTCGCGGACAGATGCCGACGATTTGCGCGAAGCCAGCACGGCGCGCGGCGGCGCGGGCGAGTCGAGTGACGCGGGACCTTTCTCAGCGATAAACGATAAATAAGCTAAGTAACTTTCCCCTTTGAATTTAGAGCTCCAAAGAATTAAAATGAAATGTCCGAGATGGTCGAGACTGCGTCAAAAATTATTCGACGGTCAAAGGTATACATTTCAATTTATTATATATCGTTATATATCGTTATTGCTCCACAGTGTTGCCCTTCTTTCAAAAAGGAAAAGAGGAAAAGCATGACTTAAAACACTCACCTAGGAGACTTGATGAAAAGAGCTTAACAATTGACTCGGTGTGGACAATTGACGCAGTCACGCAAACTCCTTCGAACGCAGCCTGCAACAAATAAACCCTTATATCAGTTATGCGAGCACACATGTAAAAGAGATTTTAGTAAAATGCATTCCATCGCCTATATTGGTCTATAACGTTGTTAGGGCAAAGATATACAATGTGCGCCATCTGTCAACATGTGTTAGGAATCAATTTCCTTGCAACGTGCATTTGGAGGCATGGTAATATTACGAAATATTACAAAAATACATTAAAAATTCCTAAATGAGAAATCTTGGCAGTGACAACAGTAATAGCGTGAATATAATCATGTTGCATTGTCGAACACAAATAGATCTTGCAAGCTTAAGCAGAACACGTCTATAATACTGTTTCGTGTCCTCTTAACGATTACATAAAATTCACAAAACAAGTACCAAGTTTCTAAGTGCCAATCAAAACAGCTAAGTAGGCGAAAGATCTTTCAAGCTGCTCTTTGTCAGATACATTAGAAAAATTACACAATAAAAGGAAATTAATACATTGGTTACTACATTGCACTTTATCGATTACACATACCTGTGCACAGTGTTTTTTCAGATACAGTGTGTATAGCAATGATTGTGCCATTGCATGTTGCATGAAATCTGGCAGATAACGAGATAAAAGTAACATGTATGCGAATTTAATTCGGTTTGGAATAATAAATACAGGCGACAAACAGCATTTACAGTTACGCTGCTCCATATTGGCAGCTGAAGGTAATTAATTACCCTAAAATTTAAAAGGTAATTTATTACTGTTGTCACTGCCAAGATTTAATTTACAGGAAAACATTGAGCGCTATTTTATATAAAAAATTAATAAGTATTATTACTTCTGGATTATTACGTCTTAAGGATTAATAGACAAAGAGTTATGCAGAAAGCTGAAAATATTTCTTAGCTCGGAAGTTTCTCTTCTTTCAAAGGGAAAAGAGAAAAAGCATGACTTAAAACACTCACCCAGGAGACTTGATGAAAAGAGCTTAACAATTGACTCGGTGTGACAATTGACGCAGTCACGCAGACTCCTTCGAACGCAACCTGTAACAAATAAACCCTTACATCAGTTATGTGAGCACACATGTCTGGAAACAAAGTTTATATTCAACTGGCAAGGTACAAAAATGACACACAGGCTAATCGACATAACCATGTGCTCCACCGGCAGTTCAACGATAACTACCCTCGGTTAATCAGCTGTGACTTCCATCCTTTTGTCTCACAGCGAGGAAAGAAAGTGAGAATCTAATTGTAAGAGAAAGTATTCCAGAGAAAAATCGTTACCTCTCTAGCACCATAAAATTCAAAGACTCCATGCAAAGTACACAAAGAGAGTCGATCGGCAACGGCGTAAGATTCAGGAAGAAACGTCCTTACACCCCGACGTGCCGACACGAACGTCGAGGGCTTCGCGAATATCTCGCGAGTGACATCGCGATGATTTATACGCAGGGAAAACGTGTACACGCCGCTACTTCTCCGCGACTCGACGCTCGACTCGGCGCGGCGTCTCGCTCTCTCTTTCTCTCCTTCCTCTCAGTGCACAATTCGCTCCGAAAGTCAAGGTTGCGTGCGCGTGCGACTTACCAGTGTAAGGTCAGAGCGGTCATGCGAGCCAGCGCGTTGTTTACGTCGACGATGCCGGCCGCAGCGGACGGCCGTGCGGCCATCCACCGATCTCACGGATTTTCGCGAATTCGTGAACTCGCGAGTCGCGAGTCTCGCGAGCACAGCAGCTGTGACGGACGTGAGCACGACGGCCGGACGGACCAGGACCGAAATTTCCTTTCCCTTTGACCCGCGGAAGAGAATTGGATGCCAATCGCGAGAGCGCCGAGCGCCCGACCGACCGTTGGCGCCGATCGCGACTTTCGAACTGATTGTGATTATCGAAATCGCAATCGACGCGAATCGGACAGCTTCACGGCGCCGCGCTCCACTGCGGGTAACCTAACACCGCCGTTCGATTTCGCCCCGGCGCGATTTCGTCCCGCCGAGACCGTCATCTCGGGGGCGACGATGCTCGCGCGTGGAAGCGGCGTTCCGCTGCTCATCGCGCGACCACATCGGCACATCGGATCACTTCTCTCGCGCGCTGTTCATTTATCGCGAATGTAAAAGTATTAATAATAGCGTACACGGTTGGCGCCTTCGTTTGACTCGCGCTAACTTCGCGACGCTCCGCAAATCGCATTATGGCGGGACGATCTCTCGCTGAGCGCGTCGCGCACGCGCGCGCTGTGGTCTGGTCGGGTCGCGCGAACTCCGAAATTAAACATAAATGCTAATTAAATACAAGCCGTGTTAATATTGCTTATTGTACATGTATTAAAGGGATTTCAAATTGATTTTGGATTTAAATTTTCGTATATCGTATCAAATCGAACATTTTTCTTAAACTTAACATTTAATTTTTTACTCTATATTTAAAAAGAACAGAATTAAACAAGCTTCAATTTAATCATTATTTGCGGCGATAAAAGATTATATTTTGTTGCAAAAACTTTTTAACTTATATTGATTAATTACATTGAACGCAATAAAACGATTATGTCACATTTCGATGTACTTCCTTTTAATAAATGTATAAAAAAATATATTAATGATCGTATAGCATTACATATATAAATAAAATGCGATAAATTAATGATATATAATAAAGGAATTAACAGTTTAATGACTGTACTTTATCTTCTTTATTATATCGACTATTTTACAAAAATATATATACCTTTCTAAATACACCAAATAAATTACGATCCATGCTGTTCCATAAATTGTTTAAGGAGGGCCTTATCGAGGGGTATTAACAGATGTTCAGCACCGTCAACTGTGCGTTTAGTTCGTAGTAATTTATGATCGATAAATTCAGTTAACTGAGCCCTTAATGCCAAATCGGAACTGACCAGAAACTGTTCGCGTGCTGCTCGATACAGATCCTTGAACGGCATCCCTAAAATGGCATCATCAAATAATAAACAAATTAATTATTACAGCTAACAGTACGGTAGTTGAGCGATAATTACCTGCAAAATTGCTACTGCTGTTGCTCAATTGGTATTTGACAAGAATTAGGTAAATTGTTCGAGCGTTTGAGGTGAGAGACAGGAAGACATTCTGGAGAGAAGACAGCACGAGTCCACTGCTTTGTTGAACCAGCAAGGAACTTTCGTACGAAGTTTCCGCTTGATATGGCAATAATGTTGTCGCATCCCACCAATAAAAATTAAACTTTGCACGTTTTATATGGTCCCAAACTAAAATAATTAGTGACAAATTAGTAACAAATCAGCTCCAATTTAGCGTAAAAATAAATGTAACTTACGGAGTGGTGCATTTATGTGATCAACAGACGCTACGACATGGATATTCGGAATGGCTGCTAAACTGGCAAGAATATTTTGAACTTTATTCGAACGCAGCATTATCCCATCTATATTGTGAATTATTAAGTAAAGCCGATCATCCGGATTATCTTTCATAACCGTTTCGATAAGTTCGAAACAATCATTAGGATTCGCTGGGCAATCTAAATCTAATAAATCCGTTATTATGTTATCGAGTATCTGAAATAACATTTAATACATACTATAGCTTTTATAAATATCTTTTTAATTAATTAATGCACTTATTAATTACAATAGACTTTTCGCTTACATCTTTCAGCGTTAAGCTAGGAAAAAATCCATTTATAACTAACGTTGGATGATCTGCTATCTCATTATGGAAATCGTTTATTAAATTCCTTTTTGAGCCTACTCCATGAAGCAACAGACTGTAACCTTCTCTAAAACATAACATACGTCTTAGAGTAAAATACCATCAAAGAACATTTTCCATAACCATACTACTTAATACTTACTCCAATATAAATTGCCACATAGAAAAGAACGATCTACAATTCTCTGTCAATGAACAAATACGTTTCTTATGTATCGTAGAAATATGATTTTGATTTGTTAATAATTCTTCCAGTGTTTCTTCAGTAAGACGAGCGTTCCGAAGTCTTCCTAATGTACGATCAGACGTAACTATCTTTTCTGATTGAGATTCAAAGTACTCGTCGGTTTTCATGTGCTTTAAAAAAAAATTAATTAATTAAATATACATATAGATCATAATTAAAATATTATTTACATAATTTGCCAAATATTCAAGATAGTCCTGTTAAACTTACATAATCCTTGTAAGCAACAGTCTTACGTCCTCTCTCTGTTTTTCTAGGTGTACTTTGTATCTCACGTCTTAGCAAAGGTTTCGGCAAAGGTTTCGACACTTTTTGCTTAATTCCCCTTCTAGCATCGTTTTCCTTACTCACATCAGAATTCTCGCTATCCTCACTTTTATCAGAAGTTTCGTCAGGCTCTGAACTGCTTTCATTATCCGTAGGTACATATTCACTGTCTTCCGACACGCTCTCATCGCCACTTGAATTTACACTGGGCAAATACCGTTTTCGAGACACTAATGGTTATCAAAAAGAAAACGAAATTAAAAAGATGCAAATAGGTTCTTCCATAATTTGCAGCAAAATCTTTAGCTGAAGCAAGATATACTGTACCTTTGGTATCAACATCCTCCCTGTTGGCTTGACTTTCAGGACTTGATGTAATCTTTTCAAGAACAATTTTTAGAACCGGAAGCGTCTTGAAACTTTTTGGGGTCTCGGGTGTACGACACTGATTGGCTTTAAGTATCATGCTATTCCTTTTCGTTGGTGTTTGAAATCCATACAGTTTTCTTCCACACACATCCTTCTCGGAAAATAATTCTGAAGCGCATTAACACACAATGTTAGATAAAAGTAAAGTAAAAAATTCATATATAAAACTTTATCAATTACCATGTGGTTTCTGTACATCCTCTTCGACATCCTGAAGCTGCTTCTCTAATTCAGCCTTCAGTATGTCAGCTCGAGCTGCAAAACAACGTGCAGGCTACATTGGCAGTGCAGTACAGTAAATATAGATAACATAAATGAAATCTCAAGAGGTCGAACAGATTCTAAAACGGATTAAACTCCAATTTACGTGCGTAATTTATATTAATATAATCTTACCAGTGCCCTCAGGTATTCCGTCGTCGCTATCCTCCGTATATTTCACGCGAGTTGTCACTCGCGTAGACCTCCTCAGGTTTCTGGCGGAAGCCATCTCACACAGCTCTCACTCTGACACGAACTTTAGCGAATAAAATTCTCCGTGTCACGCCGAGTCCAGAGGATTAAATTCAACGTCCCGAAAGTTTCTCCGTTTGTGTCATGTGTTTTTGTCACAAATCCTTGTTTTGGCGCCATTTATGAGCGATCTTATGGCCGATGCGCATAGAGCGCGACAAGAAACAAGAAACGATGCGGTGAACAACCAATGGCCGCGTTCAGCAGATACAACTGTTGAGTGTCGTCTTATCAACACGCTACATTGATTTGTTGAGTCTAAAAGTAAGAGCCAATCACGTTTGACTGCTACTGAGCGGCTTGGGCTACGGTCAACGTGACGCTACAAATGCTTTGGAGCGTTCTTCTTCTCTTTCTTCCTTCATTGAAAGAAAAGAGAAGAGGAATGCTTCGAAGCATTTGTAGCGTCACGTTGACCGTAGCCTTGGTCTGCTGAACGCGACCAATCATGGCCGGTATTCATAGTTATTTAAGACCGTCTTAAGTTCAATTTTAAGATGTTATGAACCAATCACAGAGCCGTATTAGCGTCTTAAGACATTACTTAAGACGATCTTAAAGACTATGAATACCGGCCCATGTCTCTGGGCTACAGGCTATAGAGAAACGATTGGGCCACAAGCAAATACACACTGTCAGAATGCTCGCGTGTTCCGTGTCAACACTGTCAACTGTCGAGCACTGTCGAGCGAGTTTCGTGAAAACTAGCCATGACGAACTAGCCATAACCTAACATAACCTATCAGGCGCGCGCCACGGCCACGGGCGTCGGCGACGGTGACGAGATCGTTCCGTCTGTTTCCGTCGGACAGTTCACGCGTTTAATTTAAGATAAATTTTCGAGAGATATGACGGACTCCGCTAGTGAGGACTCAGTGACAAAACTGAACACGCAGTTGAACAAGTCGATGGTGTTGATGGAGGACGCCGTAGATACTACGTCACCTCCGAACCACAAACGCAAATCTATCACAATAAACACGGAGGCGCAGTCTAGGACGCCTAGCAGTCCCATTAAATCGCGCAAAAGTATTCTGAAGAGGTCTACCAAGTCCGGCGATAACGTGACGAGTGACGAAGTCGCGCGGTTCAACGGCGATGTTAAAAAATCGAGCGAGGCGATGCTCGGATTGTCACAGCCTGCCTCAGTTTTGTCCAGACCGCGCACCGTAAGTGGATTCATCTCACTTATATAATTCTAATTATATTATTTATAATTTATAATTTAAATCATTAAAATTAAAAAATACTCGAGTAAGAACTGTATTCTTCCATTTGTCTTTCAGCTTGAAGACATAGTTCAAAAAGAGACGCTAGAAGAGGAAAATATATCTTCTACATTTAGCTTGGAGGATGTTTCGGACAGCGAAGAGTTCTGGATAATGGACATTCCTCGATTAGTAAGTGCAGACAATGGAAGATTGTCTTTGATGTTTCGAGAGACGTCGAGAATATTAATCTTGTGCATTGCGTGCAGATAAATCCACAGGAGCTTCGTGATCAGACTATAGCCTTCAAGGATAAGTCAAAGTTCAGAATTAAAGACGAACGGTACTGTATAGTCGCGCACAATACGAATCACAACGTCACATGTGTTTTCAACTCTAAGAAGGACACCCCACATTATAAGACTGGTAACAGGCTTTTTACTAGGAAATTGAAAGAGAAGTTTTGAATGTTTCCTCGTTATATTGTCTCTCCATTATATATATGTATTGATACTAATTCTTCTCTTGTAAATATCTAGTAAATATCAAGCCAGCTGGTGTCTTAACGGTAAGGAGGAAATTGTCTGGAGCGCCGGAAGTAAAGCCGATATCTGTAGAAAACTGCGGCGTGCAATTTCCTGATAATTTAAAAACAAGGCATCCACTGTTTGGCGTTGTTCACGAACGGAGATCGAAGAAACATGGCTCGCTCAAACCATACTAGGAATTATGAATATAACTCGAATATAATTTGATTTTAATTTTTTAACTCGAATAACTTTGTAAAAAAGAACCAAGAATTTGGTACGAAAATTTTCTAAGAGAATCTGTAAAAAGTTTCACCTTCTCTCGCACTATAAATTTAATGATAATATACATTTTTAATAATAAATATGCAATAAAAGGGATTATATTACGCTCGATGAAAGCAACTAATGAGAGAGATCCAATTTTCGAGCAACCAAATGAGTGTTGAAACAGTTCCCCGTAGTTTTTTGTTATAATGGTTTAGAGAAATCCAAGTATGTTCGGAACTAACTTTTTATGTAACTTAAATTTTCTACAAACAAGTTCATTTAAATTCTCATCCTTGGTTGATTGCTTGAGAATTGGGCCGTCACTCTTAGCATACATTTTCACTGTTGGACTCGGCAGTTATTGGTAATAAACCCATCAATTTTCAGAACGCAGCTGCGTTTCGAACAACGGAAATCGCGGTGGAGAAATTCGCGCGCGTCCGTTGGGTGCATCGAATCGACGTGACGCACTTCCACTTAGCCGCGAGATACGAACGCAAGTTCTGCGGGATCTGAAAGAGAGAGGAGGTGACGGTAACGAGGAAGAGCGAATGAACGACGCAAAGTTTTACACATTTTACGGATATTATTTATTATGATCGTTCTACTGTTCTTTGATCTCCGTGCTCTCGCGCGACTCGCGACAGTCGCGACGATTAATCGCTAGTAACTTGTTGCGACGACGCCTAGGGAAGAAGAGCCACACGACACAAGCCACGGGCGGCGCGTGCGACATCCGGCTAGGATGCGCAGTCGCGGCCGCGCACCACCAACTATGGGTCCCGGGGGCAGTGGAACACTATAGAAAAATTTCCCAGTAGAGAGAGAGATTTGTTAGCGGAAAAGTCGTGACTCGTGAGTCGATCTCGATGTAAGTAAATAAAGGACCCGTGCGAGTTACTCCGGCGCCTTTGTGATAGCGACGCGCGTTTAACGGGCAGGGCCGGTCGTGCGACTTTGGCGTGACTCGAGAGAAATCGGGACGCGTATGATCCGAAAGCATCCCGCTGGGAATCGACGACTCGGTTACGGCCAGGAGGCTGGCCCACGCGATTAAGGTTAAAGTGAGTCAGAGGGGTACGTGTGCCCCGTGGCTTCTCGGGCGACTCGGGTCCGCTGTCCGCTCCGGGCCAGCAACCCCCCTAGCGGATGGATCGTGGAACGTGGAATCTCGCGTGACGTTCGCGATGCCTGTGGCGAACGCCATCCTCGTCGCTCGATCGCTCATCGCTCTCGGCGCGTTTACATAAATGGGAGGCCTGGATCGGCCGATCGGGGCGCGTCGTCGCGGATAGCATTCGCCGAGGGATCCTCGTGCCCTAGCCTGGAAAAAACGTGTAGAGAGAGAGAGAGAGAAAGAGAGATACGCAGGTAGACGCACGCAAGAGAGGGAAAGGGAGAAAGATCGAGATCGACGAAGAAAAGATCGCGACGTGGAGTCGTCCCTTCTCGACGCGACGGTGTGATTCGACAGTACATAATGGCAGTTGGTCTCTCTCGCTCCCGCCTCCCGCCTCGTCGACATCATTTCCCCCCCTCCGGCCCTCCCCTCTTCTACCGTTTGTCCATCCCTCCCTGTGACCCTCCTCGCGTTCCTCCCGACCGCCCGCGCGCTCTCACCCTCTCTCTCTCTCGCCCACTGAAGTCGTGATTTTTCCCCCCTTCGCGAGCACCCCGTTCAGCGAGAGACGCAGATCGTCGTCCTTGTGTACTCGTGGCTCGTGGCCTAAGAGGCGAGCGAGCGAGAGGCGGAATGTACGTGTCATGCCCCACCACAACTAGATTTTTTTCGCCTCTATTATGGCGTAGCCAGTGAGATCCTCTCTCTCGCTCGCACCCGCTTGACGTTTCTCACGGCTGCTCGGCTGCCCTCTCGCCGCGCCGGGCCCTCTCCGGGTGGAACGCCTGCACCAACAGCTGTTTCGCCCGATCGTCGCCCTCTCGTGCATACGGTCCGCATTTTCGTCGTGCGCAAGCCGCGAGAGAAAAGGGGGAGGGCTGGTGAAACGGAGAGCGAAAGAGAGAAAAGATGGTGACCCTCTCCCTGTAGTACTGTGCATAGGATTTTTTCTCCCGCCCCTCCCCCTCCCGATCGGTCGACCTCGACGTCGCGCACGGTGAGAACGAACTCCCGTCACCTCGGCGCCGCACGAAAGAGACGTCGTCGACCCTCCGTAGGGCGTCGCGCGCGCGCCTGCGATATCCGCAGCCCTCGTGCGTAATCGCGCGAGAATTCCAGTGTGCACGTCTTCTTTGTTCGCTGCACCTCTCGCTATTCGTTCTCTTTCTTTCCCTCCCTTTGTCCCCCCCCCTGCCGCATGCTCGCTCGCTCTCCCTCGCCGTTTCCTCCCACTCGCTCGCGCTCTCCCCCTCCCTCGCGCGCGCTCTCTTTCTCTCGCGCGGATCTGACAGCTCCTGTCAAAACGGAACTCGCGGTTCGTGACCTGTCGTCGCCCTTTCGCCTCCGTGGGCCCGCTCGGCCCTCGTCTCCCTCGGTGTGCTCCCGTTCCCTTCTCTTTCTCTCTCTCTCCCGTTGTCCTCCCTCGCGCCCGCTCGCGCACCTGTTTCGATCTGATAAACGCGGAGAGGCGCGTGGGAGTGCGGCCGAGGACGTACGTACGGACGTTTCTGACGTCTGGTCTTTTGCGTCTCGCGTAAAAGTCGCGCGCGTGTCCACGTTTACATTGCCGTGGGCGAGACGAGTACGACTGGTGAGACGAGACGGACGGTACGTCAACAGGCCCACGGGACAGTCGACAGAGACGCGTCCCCCCCTCGCGAAACGCGACGTAAGTCCGGCCCGTTCGCGGATGGCTAACGGTTGCGCCCCATCTGTTTCAGATTCGAACAAAGGTAGCGGCGTGTAAAGTGAGGTCCGCGAGCACTGTCAATTACTCAATCACCGAGCGAGGTGACTTTGTCATGTAAGTGGAACCTAGGTAGCGGCATCCTGGGACGCGAAATTCGAAAGCTGGCGGTGTTCGATAGATACGGGCATACTGGCAAAGAAATCTCAGGGCGTTAATCGTATATTATCACGTAATCTCGACCTGATTTTGTGATTCCGTCATGTGGTTTATTTACAGACTTCGGCAGACTTAGATAGATATTCGTGATCTGCTTGCTTGTCTTGTGACATTCACGAGACCGGCGACGAAGATGTCAGTATTGAATCAAAGCGGCGAGGATGCGGTGGAGTGCCCTCTGTGTATGGAGCCGTTGGAGGTGGACGATCTGAGTTTCTACCCGTGCACCTGCGGATACCAGATATGCCGTTTTTGTTGGCACAGAATCCGTACCGACGAGAACGGCCTGTGTCCCGCGTGTCGAAAGGCCTACTCTGAAAATCCGGCTGATTTTAAACCCCTTACCAAGGAAGAAATAGCAAGGTACCCCCGCCGAATCTGTGTTATTTGTCCGACATTTTAATTAATACCGACAAATGATTTCATCGGTAGACGTATTATCGGACCGAACGATCTATCCTCTCCTATTCCTTTTAGAATAAAAGCTGAGAAGAGATTGAAGGATCAACAACGGAAGCAGAGAGTTACAGAAAATCGGAAACATCTAGCGAACGTGAGAGTAGTACAAAAAAATTTAGTGTTTGTAGTAGGATTACCAATGCGGCTGGCAGATGCTGATGTGAGTATGGCCGATAACGGCCGTTCTATAAAGTGAACGATAACGCGAAGAGCTCCGTAAAAACACCGTATCTTTAAAAATAAGGAGATCACGACGTATAATATTTCGCATGCTTTAGGTTTTAAAGAAACACGAATATTTTGGGAAATTTGGGAAGATACACAAAGTCGTAATTAACCAGAGTACTTCCTATGCAGGGTCTCAAGGCCCCAGTGCTTCGGCTTATGTTACTTATCAAGTGAGTTGATTTTGTAAATTATTATTTTTTGTTTTTCTTATTTAGCAGATGCCTCGTGAGTGAGCAAATGTAATAAATATTGTAAGCAATAATATTGTTCGTGTTGTAACAGCGTCAAGAAGATGCGCTACGTGCTATAGAGGCTGTGAATAACATTGTTGTGGACGGACGGACAATAAAAACATCATTAGGAACGACGAAGTACTGTTCGCACTTTATGCGTAACCAAGCCTGTCCGAAGCCTGATTGCATGTACCTGCATGATCTTGGGGACCAGGAGGCATCTTTTACGAAGGAGGAGATGCATCAAGGAAAACATCAGGAGTACGAGCGCAAGCTTGTGCAATCGTTACATGCACACGCGTCAGTCCAACGGTATAAAAATTTATTTCTTTATCTAAAGAAATGACAGTTTCTCGGGGCTGTTACGCGCATGAATCTAATTTCGATCTCCGTTCGTACAGGAAACCGACGCCATCACCACCTGTAACGGGCAGTATTGTTAGGGAAAGTGGAACTGTAAATTCGCAAACTAAAGAGGCCTGGCCGTCGTTGCAACCGGGACAGACAAATAGTGAGTGAATCTAAATTGTTTAGCATAATAAGACATTGTTGAACGTTAAAAATTTTTAACAAGAATTTTTGACGCTACGTATCAACGTCTTGCTTTTAGGTACACAAACCAGTTGTAAAGAAATAGCACTACCTGCGCAAACAACTTCACAGCACAGCAACGTGACGAGCGGAAACAGCACGGTAGCTCAACAAAGTCATATGTCCTCCGGGGTGCCTACGCATCAACAAAACAACAACAATAAGGGTGAAAGTGGTGTGGGTGTACGGCGGGGTAAAAGTAATAGCGAAAGTAAAGCGCAGGCAGTTCGGAACAAACATAAAAATAGTCAAAACAAAGAGAAGCACGGTACTCGTACGACGTCGCGATCTGAATCAAGCTCAATCAACATGCAAAGTAGTTCACAGTCGCAAATTACCGGACAAAAGGACGTTAGAAACTTTTCCGCTGATACAAACGGTGAAATGTTGCAAAAATTGGGTAACAAGTGTAAAATGGAACAGCAGCAGCAGCAACCACAGCCATTACAAATTAGCAACAAAACATCAAAATTAGTTCAGTTACAGTCTCACGAAGTTAATGTAAATGGTGCATTTCAAAACGGGGAACGCCGGCATTCGGATAGTGAAATGGATCAACAGCGCGAAGGTAGTACGCCAGCTAGTACA